GATTTTTATGGAGAAAAATGTGTAAGTATACAGAATATAGTGCTACATATTCTGATACTAGTGACTTTCAACAACAAAAATTCATGATGAAAAGGGATTAAAATAAAAATTATTAATTCTGGGTTTAGTAGAATCCCAATAAAAACCTGAAATATGAACTGGAGGAATGGTCAGTGTAGAAGCTTGCCTGGCATGCATGAGGCCCTGAGTTCTACCCCAAGACCAAAACAAACAAAAATCCCTTAAATCATGTATACATAGTACTATATAACATAGTCTCACATTCATTAATAATTTTAGCAGGGATATTTCTGAGTCTTAGGCTAGTTATTTTGGTTTATGTCTATTAAGCAAGGATTAAAATAATTTAAGGACTAAATTATTTAATAGAATAAAAACAATCTATTTTATTCTATTTTTAATGGAATAAAAACATACTTCTTTAAAAATGCTTCTTTAAGAAAATGAAATAAACAATATACTAAACAACTCCATTCAAAACTTAATACTATAGAAATTTGACTGAGTTTCTTACACATGTATGCACATGTATGAATTTATACACATACATATGTATATTCTCTTCTGCAGGAAAGAGCAATAACAGAACTATATTTATGTAGAATACAAAATGTATTCAGAAGATATATGTGTATAATAAGTGCAAGCTCAATAAATTATTAAAATTTTATTTCTCAGTAATAATGGTAGAACCAATTTACAAAGATGTGTAATGGTAGCAAAAGTGGCAGGAAGAATTCAGCAGCACGCAACCATGTTTAATAAATAAAGCTTAGTGATTAATTAAATATTATGTAACTGTGCAAGACCAAAAATTCCACACTCAGTATTTTTTTCTTTTGGCAGTCCTCGGGATCAAACTCATGCCTTGTTCACACTACACAAGTGTTCTACACACTGAGCTACATACATCTGACCACTTGGATATCTGAGACAGGGTCTCACTATGTAGCCCAGGCTGGCCTCAAACTTTTGATCCTCCTGTCTCCACCTCCAAAGTACTGGAATTACAGGTGTGCACCACATGCCTGGCTCAAGAGAGCTTAAACTGATATCTTTCAGAAAACCCAAATATTCTAGGTAGGGAAGAAGCTGCTAATATCACACTTTAATGGAATTACCTTGGAAATTAATGGTTTACTGTTTACAAAGTTGCATGGCTCCAAAATATGATATGATCTTGAAGAATAATGGAAAAATATTAGTTTTACCATCTTGGTATCATTTTGGCCACTCTTTATAACTTTGAATATTTTCCACAACTAGGGTACATATCCCCACCCTAACAAGTATATAAATATAGTGGGAGCAGGGGGGAGAAATGACCCAAGCCTTGTATGCACTTTTGAATAATAAAAGAAAAAAAAAGTATATAAATATAAATATGGTCCATTTTCTTTAGTCATCTTAATATTGTAGTTATTTATATGATTTTGTGTGAAATATTTACCATACTACTACTTAGATTTTTATATAAAAATTAAATAAATCTTCCCATAATTTACTTTATCTCAGAAATTGGTATTGAAGTTGGGCTGTAGAATAGAACATTTTTCTCTTATAGTCTTGAGGCAGAAAGAAATTAATGAAGATAAATGTCAGTTTTATAGTCACTAAGATACGGACCTAAATAAAACCACATATCCCAATTATTTATTCAATGTGAGCTCACATTTCTTTTGTTCTTTATCTTTGAAGGATTAGTTTCATTTGATTTTTCATTAAGGCAAAAGACAGATATCTCCTTTTCCTTGGCTTTAATTAGTCTCAAATTCATCTAAGGAAACAGTGATGCTCATTTCATAAAAAGTTAACATCAATATTAGGACAACTTTTATTTATTCTATGCTGTGTTTATAAGAACTAAATGTTTAAAAATACTAATCCTGAGCAAGAGTAAAAATATGAACAGTTTTGACTAAAGAATAAAATTCCTTCATTTTTAAACAGCTTTAAAATTCAACCATGAACATAAGAGTAAGACTAGAATTTGACTCCCAATATCCATGGCAAACCTGAATATTCTGAGCAGAAACAAAACACAAAGTAGATAATATGCAACAATAAAAAGCATCAGAAATTGATGCACCTGGATTTTGTTAAATATAACAAAGGTTACTTAGTCCTTCATGGATAAACCTAGCTGGGAGAACAGTGTATTGCATTGAGCAGAAATCCCTCAGAAAGGCCACAATGGATTCCTTTTTGGAAAGGCATAGGCTTTTTTCCAAAACATTCAAAGGACACATTTGGAAATACAATTATGAATCTTGTCTTCATAAAAGCAGAATGTTCTGGCCACTCTGGAAACTGAAGTAAGTCACTTGAGATTTTAGTTACAGCCCCCTCCACCCCACTGAAAAATAAGAGCTCATTTAGCCTGCAAAGCAGCATTATGACAAAATATTTATACACCGTGAAGGCTTTGAGGAAGGGCTTTGCAACATGGGTCAACTGAAGCCTAAATCTGAGAATACTTTTCTAGTTCGTGTGTGAAAGTGCTTAGGAGTGGGAAACTGCCAACAAGGCAAGGATCCTCTCACAGTATTAAGGCCTGTCCATGTGGCGAATGGTCAGTTGAAAGTCAGCACAGTGAACTTTAGGTAATGATTTCTGGCTCTGGGCACAGCCCTCCAGGCTTCTTTAGTATCATTGTTCTTTTATTCAAACTGTCGCTCTTCCTCTTCATCTGCTTCTTCAATGACCTGAATCTCATCTGCTTGAGGTAAGGAGGTATTCTCCACCTGCAGTTTATTCCCCTCGGCTTTACATTTTTCTTCTTCCTCTATGATTTCCTTCCATATCTTGTGGTTTTCAGTGAGGTGGTGCATTAGCTGACAAAATATTCGCCGTCTGCCTTTCCTTCTTTGTGGTTCTGTGAAATTTAAGACAACCATATTCTAATCATAGCAATATGAGTCAACCATTCATTGAACAAATAGCTAAGTGCCCACTGTAAGTAGTCATGTAAGCATAAGGGTCGTAAGTCTACAGTAAATTAAAAATAATCCCTGTGCAATGGGAGCTCACTTTCTAGAATGATCTAGGCAAACAAAAATATGAATATATCAAATGGTATAAAGTGCTGCAGATAAAAATAAAATAGAGAAGAGGAATAAAGAAGACAGGGTGGGTGGGAGGAGGGGCGTACCAGATGAAAATCATAATAATCCAAAGTTAAAAACCAAGGTTTTGAGGGCTTTTTATGTACTAAAGGAATTAAATGCAATTAACAATGTCCTGATAAATATTATTAATTTTTAGAAGCCAGTCAACCTCTTAAAATGACATTCAGATGGTAATGGCATAGGATAACTCTCAGCTATGATAATCCTAAATATAAGGCACATGTGTGTGAAGTGGGTAGGGGACACTTTCTTTGTAGTCATCGTATCTTTTTATGATTTATAGCATACTTAGAAAAAATACCTAGCTAGGTATTATTTAAATTTTACTTTAAAATAGACAGTAAATAATTGATTTCATTTATAACTGTAAACGCAACAAATGTTTTTTTAAATTTTCCATTTATACTCACCATCTTTTATAGAAAATACATCACTATAGTTTAACTCAAATTCATAATACCACACAATTTATTTTTCCTCCCCAGAACAAGGGAATGTATGCTTTCCTTTTCACCTCACCATTTTGATATGCTTCCCAAGTCTGTAGAAAGGGCAGATTAGCAGGCTGCTTTGAAATTTGTGCTCCTCAACTGCCTTGAGGGTTGGGATGGGATTGTTTGAGGAGGCCAGCTGCTAGGACCCACCTATCTCCCAAGTATTCAGATGTGGCAGCAGCACTGTCATGTGTACAAGCACTGTCATGTGTACAAGCACTGTCATGTGACAAGCACTGTCATGTGTACAAGCACATGTGTACAAGCACTGTCATGTGTAGAGCTTGCTGAAAAGCACTAGCTAGAGAACAACATTTCCAGACATATTACTTTGATTAAATAATAAGAATTCTTGTGTGTGACAGTACTAGCACAAAACCCAGCACACAGCAGTTATTCAAAACATGACTACTGAATCTGAACATTTAGACAGTAGTTACCCAAGATATTACTCCTGAATCTCTATCTAGAAACAAAGATCTAAATGCAAACTAAATGGGCATTTGTAGTTAATAACATTAAATAAATTACAGTTTCCCTGTGTTCTTACTAGGATTTAGATTGTCTTCCATTTCTTCATGATCTGTATCTAATTCTTCACCATCTTCATCATCACCACTTTCAGTATCATCATCCTCTTCCGCTTCTAGCCACTGACCCGGCAGCAAACCAGCAGCATCGTAGGAGTTACACAGGGGACCCACAATGTGGGTGATAAAAGATTCTTGGAGTTTTGCTAGTTGAGGAGAAGAACGATCCATAAAGGGACTGATTGGTAGGCCAAGATTTGCTTCTTCATCTCCCTGAGCATTTAAAAAAATACATTTTTAACTGTTAAAAATCAACCACTGAGGTTTGCTGCTAAAATGATCTTGAAGCTTTAAAAAAAAATTTATGTCAAAATAATTTTAACAAAGAAATATCTAAGAATACATTGCTCCATGGTGCTGAGAGTGTGAATCAATGATAAAATGCTACTATTTGTAAGGAATTGGGCTCCAACCCCATCACCATAAAAAAAGAAAAACTTGCACTATCATTTTAACTATAAGAATTCCTCTATTTTAGATATCCTAAACAAAATTGTAATCTCACATCTGTCCACATCAGACAGTATAATTCATATTCAGCTTTTAAAACAAGCATTATCAATTTTCTTAGTAACTTGCAAAATTCGGTAAGATCAAATATAGGTTCTCTCCTAAAGAGAAAGGCATAATAGATACATTTTTGTTGTTGTAATTGTACCTCAAGTATACATGGCTGAATTGTGCAAGTGCTTTTCAACATCCCCTTTTAAAAGCAAAATCAATTAATGAATCCAAATCAGAAAAACTAATATATAAAAAACAAACAAAGGTAGAGCTACAATGGATGAGAATTGAGGCCCAGAGACACAGCTCCCTGCCCTCTGATACCCTCCCATTGTGGCTTACAGGAATATAGAAAGCAAAAATGGAGATTAGACAGATGTGGTTTCAAAGCTTGCTTTTTCCACTTACAACTTGTAGCACTGGGCAAGCTGTATACCCGATGCCATTATGTATAAAATTTGAGTAATATATCCTACAGGGTTGCTACGAGGATGAAATGTAGTATTGTGCAAAGTGGAGCACTTCCTAGATGGTACTATTAACATTTTTTTTAAAGACCACACTTTTTTTTAATTATTATTAAATTTTTCCTGTCTTGATATTCACAATACAGACCAGGTACAGGGCCTGGGCCAAGGTGTATATGGGGTAGGTTTAATTTGCTTCCTTTTTTTTTGTTATTGTTGTATTTTGCAGTACTAGGATTTAACTCAGAGTCTACACCTTGACTCACTCCATCAGCCCTTTTTTGTGATGGGTATTTTCGAAATAGGGTCTTGTAAACTATTTGCTCAGGCTGGCTTTGAACTACGATACTCCTGATCTCTGCCTCCCAAGTAGCTGGGATTATAGGCATAAGCCAGCATCCAGCAGGAGCAGCTATCTTAAAGAGAAAATGCAGGATGAGGTAGGAGGTGGGTGTCTTAGAGGAGACAAGCAAACAATGAAAGGCAGAGGTCACAGGGATGAATTTTTGGAGGTCAAGGCAGGAACTCTTCATTCACTAGAGGGTTTTGAGAAGTGGGGGCAGACCAGAGCAGAGAACAAGTTTGAATGGGCGCTGGCTGGTTTAGGAGGGTAATCCTAAGGAAGAGGGCTTGGGACAAGTTTACAGAGGTGAGGGAAGTTTCGGGTGGGCTGAGCCTTAGGAGATGCTAGAGGGTGGGAGGTAGATGATGGGATGGGGTAGGAGAGGTGTGGAAAAATGGTGCATGGTGCTGCAGGCAAAAAAAAAAGGGGGGGCTAACAATTTGGACAAAATGAGAAACTGATCAAAAATGGATATTGCCAGCCACTGAGTTTTCACTTCTTGGTAATTTGGTTACACCATGAAGTGGCTTTACAAATATACACCTTTAAATAGTTTTACCCATTTAAAAATAATTGTTCATATTTTTTCTTTCTTTTTTTGGGGGGGGGTGGTGTAGGACGTAGTTCCATGTACCCAGCCTGTCCTCAAACTCTCAATTCTCCTGCCTCAGTCTCCCATGTGCTGGGACTACAAGTGTGTGCCATCACACCATGGCCATGTTTCCTTTTCTTTTTTCTCTCTCTCTCTTTTTCTTTTCCTTTTTAAGTGGTACTGGGGATTGAACTCAGGGTGCCACATTTTCTTTCTAAAATTTGGAAAGTAACTGGTACAATGAGGAAGCAAGTTAGTAATTTTGGTAAAATAAAATACACATAACATGTAAAAAACATAAACAACTTTGGGGTATCAGATGGGGGAAAAAGCAGGTTAGAAACAATGAACTTTTTGCGATTTTTTTTAAGTTACTATTAAAATTTTAGTCCTAGGGTCTAAAGTGCCTGGAATTAAATCACTCCGTACAATGTACAAATTCCACAGGCAAGCAGTATTGATCTGTGATGAGCAAATGTAACCTAAAGGAAACAACCAGAAAACGTTCCAGTGATTAACTGTCTGATGGCTAAAAGTCTTCTATGATTTTATGTTCAATAAGGAAGAAAATTATTTATATTTTTCAAGAAACAGTTGGGTTGGAGCTAGGGATGGAGCTCAGTGGTAAAGTTTGCCTAGGAGGAGGCCCTGTATTCAGTCTCCAGTACTGCACAATAACCCAAAACCTAAAACAAATCAAAACCAACCAACAACATCAAAACAAACAGCCAACAAGAAAACTGTTGGATCTGGGTATAGTGGTGCATGCTTATTATCACAGATATTCCAGATTGCTAGTTCAAGGCCATCTGGGCAGAGACCCCCTATCTCAAAAAGAAAAGTATAAAATAACAAAATAGCTGGAAATGGCTCAAGTAACAGAGGGCTTGCCTAGCATGTATTGTTTGGGTTTTCTAAGCCCATGGCACTTAAATTGCTAGAGGAGTATAAAAACAGTATAATAGGATAATAAAGAAACAGTTGGGAAATATTAAAATTGTGAATACATACAGAAAGGAAGTTTAATGGCATTACAAAAAGAAGGAAGTTCAACAGTTCTGAAAAAAAATGACTGATTTTCACACGTGGTAGAGTATGAGAGGATATTTTTCTTCAATATTTAAACCTAAAAAAGATTAAGTGAAACTGCCCGAAATAATAATATATTGTATTAATGACACCTGGAATTATATTAGCTAACATTATTGAATACTATGTCCCAGGAACCATTCTAAAAACTCTACATAAATTATTTAATCATCTCAGCAACCATATAAGTATCATCATTTTGAATATTTTATCAATGAGATACTGAGGCACAGGGAAGTAACTTACCCAAGGTCACACTGACAACGAGAAAGAGGATGCCAGGATTAAACCTCAGGCATGTCTTTCCAAGTTTGTTTAGTAAGTATTAAATCTATATGCTTTAAAATAATGACTGAAACAATGTATGCACATGTGAATAAATGAATTTAAAAAAGTGTATGTTTAGACTCCATGTGTTTATATGTTTTTGTAGTTTCTTTTGCTGTTGATTTCTAGTTTTAATCCACTGGGGTCACATAAAATACAGGAAGTTATTTTGCTCTTCTTGTATTGGTTGAGGCTTGCTTTATAAAATATAATCTATTTGGGAGAAAATTTGAAGGGTTGTTGAGAAGACTATGTATTCTGTGGCTGTTGGCCAGTATATTCTGTAGATGTCTGTTAAATCCATTTGATCTTAGTGTCATTAAATTCTGAAATTTTCTTGTTGATTTTTTTTAATCTTGCTAACCTATCAATTTGTGAGATTAGGGTATTGAAGTCACACATTATTATTTTGTTAGGGGTCTATCTGTACATCCAGTAGTGTTTGCTTTATGAAATTTGGTAGATCTACACTTAGTGCCTATACATTTACAATTGTTACATCCTCACCAAAGTTATTATTGAAAGGTATGTAGTAATTCCTGTCATTTTATTGTTCTTGAAATGTTTGACTATATTGTAAATTTCATTCGTTGATCTACTTGTCTAGAGTACTGAGATTTATTCTTTTCCATGGTGGTATTTATCTTCCTCTTCTGTATGTAGGATTCCTTAAAGTATCTCTTGCAGTTTTGGCTAGTAGTCATGAATTCCTTTAGTTTTTAATTATCATGGAAGATTTGTATTTCTCCTTCAATTATGGGGTATAACCTTGCTGGACACAGTAATCTAGGGCTTGAAATACATCATACCTTGCCATCCTTGCTTTTAAAGTTTCTGTTGAAAAATCTGCTATTATATTCTGATGGGTTTGCCTTTATATGTGATTTGGTGCTTCTCGCAGCTTTCAGTATCATTTCCTTGCTCTGTAAGCTCAATGTTTTAAGTATAATATCAAGTGGAGAAGTCCTTTTCTGGTCTTGTTTGTTTAGTGTTCTAAAAGCCTTCTACACATGATGTCCATCTCTTTCCTAAGATTTGGAAAATTTCTGCCATTAATTTATGGAATACATTTTCTATGCCTTTAGCTTATACCTTTTCTTCTTCTATGCACATGATTTATAGGTTTGGTCTTTTAATGGTGCCCAGTATTTCTTGTACGTTTCATTCATACTCTCTTATTTTTTCCTTATCATTATCTGAATGTTCTAATTCATCTACCTTGTCATCAAGTCCTGATATTCTGTCTTCTACCTGAGTCTATTGACAAAGCCTTTAACTCAATTTTTTTCTTATTGAGCTTTCCATATCCAGATTTTCAATTTTATTTTTTCAGGATTTCTATATCTTTACTAAATTTTTCTTTTACATCCTGTATTGCCTTCCTTATTTCATTCAACTGTTTGTTTTATTCAGGCACTTATTTGTGCCCTCTTTAATTTCATTGGTCATTCTCAGTGTTTAGACAGGAATGTGTATTGGCCAAGTTAAGGTACAGTTACTCACCATTGGCCTAGGAGTATATCTCTATAGGCAACATTCACTCACAAGGTCAGGACACCAGGTCCAATCCCCACTACTCAGAGAGAAGAATACTAGGTGCAGTCTCTTATAGTTCCTAGTGTACAGGCCAGTGCTGTATGTGGGCTGAGGGCAGGGCCAGCCAAGGACCAACTGTCTACTTCAGGGCTGCTTTCATTTTAGAAGCTCCCCTTCTTTGTGTACTGGAAGCCACTTCTGGCTGCAAGGAGTTTTGCAGTTTGTAGGTTTGGCAGGTTCTCATTTGCTTGATAGTCCCCCATAGTTTGTGCCCCAAGGGACAGCAAGTGTTCAACACTAGGGGTGTCCCCTGAATGCATTAAAGAGTGTGTATGTGCATAGAAAAAACAAACAGAGCACTAAACTCTGGACTGCAGGAGAACTGAGGAACTCAATTTAGGCACTCTACCTGTCAGTCTCAGTGTTTTGGCCCCTGCCCAGCTGTTAACTCCCCTGTGGGAGGCAGGAGTCAGGGAAATTATGTTCCTCCACACCTATGCTCAGAAGTCTCAGTGCTACCTGGTCAAATTCCAAACAGCTGGGAAGTGGAGGCCAAGCACTCTGTACCCCACTCTGCACCCCACATGTTCTGTGATACTCATATGATGGACTTGTCCCCTTGTCAAGGAGGGTGAGGTTCAAAACCACCATACCACTGCTATCATTGCCTGGGTCCATGACCACTCTTCATGGCTGTCTCCTATCCACACATTGTGACAAGATGTCCTTAGGCTCCCTGCACCATGATTGTTCTTTGCATTTCAGTTCCCAGTGTTGCTCAGTCTCAAATAATAGGCCCCCTCTCAAGATAGTACCTGGTTATAGTACTCCAAGAATATAATATAATAATCTTATATATTATTAATATAATAATATATTAATATAATAATATAATATATCTTATATATTATTAATATAATAATATAATATCTTTTTTCTCTGATGCTAGCCTGCTGCACAGGAGTAGTCACTGTCACACCAAATCCCTGTTCTGCATTTGTGGCTTGAGGGAAGTATGGGTGTATTTGGTGGCTAAGTCTGCTATTCTAGTGTCAGTGCAGCCTGACTTACTTTGTAAGTATGTCTTCAATTCCTTCCTCCCCACTATCCATGGAGCTGAGGGTGGAGTTGCACAATGTTTACTACTTTTTTGGTTGCTTTTCTGTTTCTCCAGGCTTTTTAGCTGTCCTGTCCCTATTTCTTGATTCCTGAAGCTCTTCCTCTCTTCTCTCTTCAGAATATAGTCTCTTTTTTGTTACCTTGACTCTTCTCATTCATGGACCACATAGACGAAACTTCTAATTTTCTAACTTGTCAAACCTTCTCTCCTCCTAAATCAAGCTGACATGTTCCTTCACAAAAATTCCTCTTTTGTGAACAGAAGATCTACTAGAGAACTCTAAAACTGGCTTCAATTCTCAATGAGGATGAGAATAAGAATATACAAATGGTATGTTTTATTCTTACAAATCAGGTAAATATAACAACTTACTATCCCAAATTACACATAATTTAGTTTAAATATATCAGAGGATATTAAAACAACAGTAATATTGGAATGCCTATATTATTTCTATGATTGCTTACACAGTATGGTATTTTGTAACTTGCAAGGATAGATGATGGACAATGCACATTTATAATACAATCTGGGGGTGACAAGATATATTAGGTAAGTATGCATGGTTAGATAGGATCAATTTCATTACTCCTATTTTCTGCTCATGGTAAGAAAGCCCTGATACAAAGTAGCTTCACTTGGTACACACCTTGATTTTTCCTGATTATTAGAGCCAACAAGATTTCCCATGGAATCAAGTCCAAGAAGGTATATTTGATATATTAGAGATGATGAAATGTGAGGCTTGTGGAGAAATTGCTTCACTTCTACATTATGGTGAGCCTCAAGTTTAGACAAAAAATGTGGAGGTTCTTCAAACTGGCATAACTATTTTAAAGCAAAGATTTTTAAAGATATGAAAGAAGAAAAGAGCATGTTTGTATCTCTGAATTCTTGAAAACCACTAAGCATCTACTCTTACTCATTTCTAGTCCTCTATTTTTTTATTCTCCACTGGAACTTTCACCCAGTTGATGTTTTTATGGGGGCAGGGGGTAGTTAGTCTTTCTATAGAAGAGTTGAAAATGTGTTGATAAATCTGGACAAGGTGGTGCACATCTGTAATCTTAGAATTTGGGTGGCTGAAGCAGGAAGATCCTGAGTTCAAGCCCATCCTAATCAACAAAGTGAAACTCTGTATCAAAAACAAAACAACATAAGAAACACACAAAAAAGAAAATGGGTTGATAGTCTTTAAATATATTCTGAGCAAACCCTGAACTCAATTAAAAACCCTGATCTGGAAATCAACTTTTCTATGTTATAAGTTCTTCAGGTTGAAGGGGACCTTGGAATCATATTTCATCCTTACATGTAAACTCAAGAGTACACTCAACTGATTCCAGATAGACAATATGCTACTTTTTTGTTAATTTAAAATTTTGGCAACAAAGGTAGACCTGAGAAAACACTAAAAACCAGAGCAAATACAACACTTCCTAACCCTTTTCAAAGCAACTCAAATTTCACTTAATGTAGTTATCCAACTTTCTTCATATGGCGGATCTTAAAAATCCCACCAATCTACCAACTTACCTGTTCATAAAATTCATTGACGATCCCTTCTGTCCATTTCAAATGCAAGTCCCGAACTTTTGCTGGGCCATTTATGTCTGCTAATTTGATGCACACTTGGCAGACTAAGAGGCGATCATTTTCATTATTCCATTCTATGCCATTACTATTTACATCATTGGCCTATTTTGGAAAAACAGAATTTCTTTAGGTTCTGAGAGCATAGGAGTTTTCTAATATTTGTTGTTTGTTGTTTATTTTTACCAAGAGTTTACCTTAAAACTCTTCCCTATCCAAATGACAGAAAGAAATTTCAGTAAAGTCTTCTTTTAATCAGTTTATACCATAACATAGACCTCCACGGGTTACATTTCTCCCATTGAAGTGTTGCTAGAATTGTGTTTCAACAGAAGCATAATTTTCTAGAAACATAACCAACCATGGGTTTCAATATTTGTGATTACCACAGAGTACCATACTTCATATGTATATATGCATATTATGTATATTAATAAATACATGTGTATCAATAAATCATTAAAGTTTGACTATTACCTCAAAAAAAGAACACTTAAGGAGCTAAGAAGCAATTGGCTCTAGCTGTGAGAGACAGGAACACATATTCAGAAAGTTGATCTCAGTGGTTTTAAATAAATCTTGACTCAGAAAGATTTGCTAATTCAGTGTGTAATTCTAATAAATTTACATCATCTAGTTGAATCTTTCATCATCTATAAAATAAGAAAATACCAATCTAGCCATATAGTGTTATGAGGATAAATGAAAAATTCTTCCTTTATAATAAATGCTAAATGAATATTAACATTATTAAAAGAGATGGGATTATCATTATCAGTTAGGCAAATTTAGTATGCCCTTCAAGACTTCAATTTCCTTTCATAAAAAATGAACACAATGGCCAGATTGTAGCTTTTGAACTTTTGTGTAATAGAGTTTTTGTGCCAAACCCTTTTATCAAAGAAAATTCATGTATACCATCACCAAAGAAAATACTTAAATCAACTGAGGGGCATGGCCCAAGTGGTAGGGTACTTGCATAACAAGCACAAGCCACGAGTTCAATCCCCAGTACTGCCAAAACAACAACAAAAACCTTAAGCCAGGTGTGATAGGACACACCTGTAATTCCAGCATGAAAGAGAGGGAAGGGAAGGAGGAAGAAGGAAGAAAAAAACCAGATCAGCAATCTTTGAGGAACAGGTTCAAAAGTATTCAGTTTAGATAATCTTTTACCTGTAAAAGGTGACTTACATTTAAAATGCAAATTAAAATAAAAGTGATGATGGAGATATGCATTTGTCATAAATTCAAGCTTGAGACTGGCATGAAGACAGAAATTTATTCTGCATGTTCTATATGTTTTTATTCATGATTATCGATGTTGAGAGTTTAAAATTAACAAATTACCATTTGTGTTCCTACTTTCTAAGTTGTAGAAAGATTTATTTAAATGCTGCCTTGGAATAGATCATTACTTTGAAAAATATTCATGTACTTAAACTCTTCATACATCCCTCAATTTGGATGTATAAGTGATAAAAAGGTAATGCTTCCATTATTTCATAGCAGTTATTAACTTATTGATTTGCCATGGGTATTCCATTGGGCTATGTGGCTTTTCATGGTTCAACTTTGAGTATGAATGAAATTGAAGAACAAAGTCACTGTGAATCAAATTTCTGCCTTCATTATAAAGAATAATAAGACATGTTAAAAACCTATGCCAAGTAACTAAATGTGAATCATTTCCTTTTTTCTCTCCATTGCTTATTATATTGTCATTTAATAAATAATTTTACTTAAGAATGTAAGCAAAAACTAAAACTAAAACTGAATATAGCTATTCAACTATGAAATAATTTCAAGGGTACATGATTTCTCAATGATTCTATAAGCATTTTATTAATATTATGATCACAACATATATAGGAGGTTAAAGATAATACTTCATTACCAGTTTCTCTACCCTAAAGGTAATGCTTCCTTTTGTTCACAAAAATCATCAAGGGAACAGCAGCTTACTGCCTGCTAAAAGAGGGGCATTCTTCTTTCAGGAATCTAGAGCAATGGTTCTCAACTTTTTTAACCCTCAATGTCTGAGGGACAGAACATACTCCCATTAAAACCACTATCACATTAGGGCAGCTATTCTCTGTCCCCTAGTGAATATCAGTTCTTTGAGAGGAGAGATTTTGACCTGTTCTCTCCACATTTTTCCCCAACACAATGACTGCACATAGGGGCAATTCCAACAAACAGTTGTTGAATGAGTGAATTATTCTCAAGGGAAAGAGTATGTACTCCTTCTCCTCCATGTCATCCAGTTGAAAGAAGTACTAATACAAAGCAGGTGTAACAGGTGTGGTTAAGATAGGCATAACTGGCTTTTTAGAAGCACATTCTTGATTTTGTATAATGTCTCATTTAGCACTGTGTGTGACTTTCTCAAATCTGCCCATAAAGTCTTTTGACACAATTAACTGGTTTATCGCTATGTAAAAGGAAGTCATAATAAAAAAAGTCTGTGTTAAAAGAAAACATAATAAGCAATAGTATGATAGGACATGGTACCATAATTTAAAGTTTATTTTTAAAATATAAGTATATATTATTTTGTATCAAATTTTTATTCTTTCTTCATGTGTAGTATTAATTCTAATTTAACATTTAAAAATAATTTTTATCAGTAACACTGACAACAATCATTTCCCTTTTTGAAATCAGGCACTAATTTGCATAACAAACCTTGGCATTAAATTCAGCAAGGAAATCAAAATGCTTTTTAAGATCTGTGGCAAGGATTGCTTCAATGACTAAAAAACGAAAACGCTTGAATTCCACATGATCAAGATTAAGAAGAAAGTTGTATTCTGAGCGAGAAAGATACAGATTCCAAGCTGATGCAGCATGATGATTTTCCAGAACAGATCTGTCATTGTACAAAACTGCCTAAAAAGGAATAAAGAAAAATGAGACAGGCATCTCAATGATATGAAACTTTAATAATTAACAGAGTTAAGAGCAAGTTAGAAGAATATAATAAGGATTTACCATACTAGGTATTTTACCAGGTATTATAATATCTGTGAAAAAAGGTTGTGATCATTTTATAAATGAGTAAACTGAAATGCAAAGCGATTAAGGTACACTTTTCTTTCCAGTAAGTGAAAGGGCTATTTGTCCCCAAATTTCATCATCTTTGCAGATACCATGCTGCCTCCCAGTAAGTGAGAGAAAGGAGATATTTTGAGGTCTACTTCAATCAGTAAATCTCAGATAAAGCGTCTGCTAAAAACATCATTAGGGATCTAAAGCAGCTTTAGATTCACATTTCTGTTCTGTGGCCAGCAGGGAGTTAATGGTAGTGGTAGCTGAAGAAAAGGAAGCAGAAGTACTGTATAGGCTAAGTCAGAGACCTGCATGTCTGAGAAGGATACATCCTGAATTCCCATCCTGACCCAGTGCCTGGGAGAAAGATATAAGTCTGAAATAAGTAAAAGCACAAATCTTTTGGTTCAAAACTTCTGATGTGCAACTAATCACTTTTTTTCTATGTCATGCCAGTGGCAAACCCTCAGGTGCCTTCTCATGTACTATAGGATTCTGGAATACAGAATCCCTGGAGTATAGAAATTCTAATGTCTGTTCCACCTTTTAAATTATGCAATTAAAAATATTTAGTAATCAAAGGCACTTCCCCACCAAGTAATGCTAAAAGCAAGGGATAAAAACAAAAACCCATCTCTGTTTTCATGAAGCTTGCTATCTAATGAGAAAGGACAGATAAAACTAGGATGCAGCTGTGATCCCAGCTATGCAGAAGGCATAGGTAGGAATATAGCAGTCCAAGGCTGGCTCTGGGCAAAACGCAAGACCCTATTTAGAAAACAACTAAAGCAAAAAAAAGGGCTGGGGGTATAGCAGAGTGCCCACCTAGCAAGTACAAGGTCCTAGTAATCGCGTATCTTCTTTTTTCTTAAGATACTATTCTTGTTTTGCTGAAACATCCTGTTTCTCAGGATGGATGGGACATGATTTTGTTTGAGTCACTGCATAGTTGAGAATCTATTTTGATCTTGTAGTCATGCTCAATGGTAACTTAGCTTAGAATGCTAAATTGAAAATGATTATCCCTACTTTAGTACATCTGATCTCTCATTTTAATTTGGTCCTAGCACTCATGTCATAATCCTTCTCTCTCTCTTTGTCTCTCTCTTTCTTTCTCTCTCTTTCTGCCTCTCTTTTTCTCTCTCTTACACACACATTTGTTTTTCTTACTTTACTAGAATGTAAATACATGAGGGTGAAATTTTTTCCTATTTTATTTAGTAACAATGTCTAAATACCGCTTGATCCATAATATGCCCAATAAACATTTGTTTGAAAAAATAGATGAATGATTTCCCTTAGAATTTTGAAAAATTTATTCCAGGATCACCTACCATCAATTGCTTAAGTATGATGCCATTTGAATTTTTGTTCTTTAATTTCTTAAAAGATCTCTTAAAAAAACTCTTAAAAAAATTTTAGTGTTCTAAAATTTTACCATGATGAACAATGTGTGGGTTTTAAAGTTTTTTTCCCTACTCACCTTCCCTTGCTCTTAGCGAATTTCTTCAACCCAAAGATCCCTCTCTTTCCAGAACTCTTACTAGATAAGATCATGACCTGACTCCATATGTCCTATCTTTTCTATCTCCTTACCTTTTTGGTCTATATCTTAAGAGAGAGACTACCTGGATGTTTTTATTTCCAATGCTTATATTGAATTTAAAACTTTTACAATAATATTTTAGTTTCTAAGAGCTCCAACATATTCTGTAATGTTTCCTTTTTCTTTTTAAACATTTTTATTAGCATATAATATAATAGTTGTACAGGGGTATACACTGTGACATTTACATATGTGCTTACAATATATTTTAGGTAGATTTACCACCTCCGTAGTTCTCCCTTTTTCCCCTTTCCCCTTCTTAAAATTAATGTTTCCTTTTCCATTGTTTCCTAGTCTCTGATTCTTGTTTTAGAAATTCAGTATTCTTCAAATTCTGAGAGTACTCTGCTTTTAAATGTTTTTCTGTCCCCATATTTGATCAATTATTCTGTTCACCCTATCCCTTTCCTTCCAAACTTCTGGTTAATGTCTTATGTCTGGAGATGCTTGGTTATCTGTTGATATACAAAACGAATTCTGCTTGCAAGTATAATTTTCCTCTGCTGTTATGTTTATTTTATTGCAGAGTCACTGGATGAGAAGGAACTATGTGAATGTGGATAGGGTCTGTTACCAAGTTAGGTACCAGCTATTAAATTTCCAGATTGAGAAGAATTCACTCTGGAATACTAATACCCACTCAAACAACTTATTCTCTGCAGTTTTCTTCAGTATCTAAGAGATGAGTTTCTGCCTGCCTGGAGGTAAATGCAGAATTACAGTATCTCTGCTTAAAGATGTGTATGTGTTGTGTGTGTGTGTGTGTGTGTGTGTGTGTGTGTGTGTGTGTGTGTTTACAAAAAAAGGGCAAGCACAGGCAGAAGGCATCAGGAGTTGCTCTGGGCTTCCAGCTATTCTGTAGTTCTTATCTCTACATGTTTTTGTGTTATCTGTCCATATTCATATATCTGTTTCTCATTTTCAAAACATTTTATGAAATTTCTTATCTAATAATAATACTCTTCATTTATTCCTTTATGTTGCAATGAGCTTCATGTTTTACTACATTTTAATGAGATATCAGGTAGGAGAGGAGACAAATGCATACATTTAGTCACTGCTATGGTTTGTCCCCCAACAGTTCCTGAACTAGAAAAATATGAGTTAAAAATATGAAGGCAAATTCTTAGTTGTTAAACTTCATCATTTAGATGGATTTTTTAAAATTAAACTCAATACACTTTATGTTTTGACATACAACAATGTTCAAATAGACAATTTTGAAACTTAACCTTGAGCTATAAAGTGATTATCACTATATTAAATGAGATGATTACATATCATTTCAAATTTTCTCTTAATAATCTATAATATGATTATAAAAAAGACAAATCTATGAACTTAAATATATCCATGTCTAAGTATAGCATGAGTATAGTATCAACAATTTGTAATCAAATACTTTAATTCCAACCAACAACCAAAACATCCCATTTTATTTCCTCACAGCCACAGAGAAAACTAAAAGATATACCAAAAAACCTGAAAGGCTATGTTATTCTAGACTTCATGTTTGTATTTTAATTAGGACAACCATTTTCACATGTAATTTGTATATATTCTTGTTCTGACACACCTATACTCAAGGCAAATGAAAAGAAGGAATAAAAGCAGAGAGTGGATTAGAACAGTAAATTTCTATTCACATGATGTTTGATTCAAGAGTTTCTTGTGCCACATGAAATGGTAGAAATTTTTCTGCTACAGTTTGAATCTGGAATGCCCCCAAAGGCTCATGTGAGACTTGGTCCTCAGCTTGGCTGTATTGGAAGGTGGTTGGAGTTTTAAGTCGTGGGATGTTTTAGGACATTGTAGGGATGTCCTTTAAAGGGATTGTGGTATGCCAATATTCCTCCACTTTTCACTTTCTGGTTGCCATGAGATAAGCAGCTTTACTCGACAGCATATTCCCTGCCATGATGTGCTGCCTTGCCACAGGCCCAAAAGCAATGTTGACTGATCATGGACTGAAATCTCTGAAATGGAAGCCAAAATAAACTTTTCCTCTTTTTAAGTTGATCATTTCCTGTATTTTGTCATAGTAACAGAAAGACGGCAAATATCTTTCCATGTATTATCTCTTTTTATCATTAATTATACACACACACACACACACACGCACATACTTAAAGTGCAGAGGAATAAGCCTTTATCTCAGGTAACACACCTAATAAGTAGGCTACCAGAAATCAAACACAGGCCTTTTGATCTCAAATCCACTGCTTTTTCCATTGTGTCACTACTAACTAGGCTTACGATTCACCAAATGAGTAAGACTTTCAAAAATTATGTGTTAAGTTAGAGAGAATGGGCATCTGGTGCTGGGGGTGGGGGTGGGTGTTGGTGCATAGCTGAAGTGGGAGGGCACTTGCCTAGTATGCACAAGACCCTGGGTTCAATCCAGAGACAGAGGAAAGGAGGGGAAGGGAGACAAGAAGAGAAAGAGAGGTAAAAGTGGGGATAGGAAGAGGTGGGAAGAGAGAGAGAATGGGAGAGGGGAAGGAAAGGAGGGAAGAAGAGGGAAAGAAGGAGTGAAATAGGGAGGAAGAGGGAGGGAAAGGGAGTGAATGAGAGAGAGAAAATATATGCGTCTGAATGTTGCAGAGTGATATTATAAATATGTACTACTTAGAGAGTAGTACAAAACAACAATTAGAAAGTGGAAAAATATTGATGACTAAATTTAAATTGATCAAAAAGTTACCTGTGGAAACCATGAGCTATTAATAAAATCTCACTAGAGAAGTGAATCATATGGCCCTTCTGACTCATTTACTTATACACACACACATGGATGCCATTTTACCCACTCACACATCTACATACTTCCCTAAACTGCCTTCCTATCATGTTTGAGATTCAAGAGAACCGGCTATATTTTTAAAAGTTAGAGTGCATGAAAGAGATACACATAGTAAAGGAACACAGAAAATAGCTATATATGGTGACAGCATCAGAACTGAGGTTTAAAATAGCGATAAAGTAAAGAAATTAGCTGAATGCAACAGGAATCACTGAGTACCTACTTTTTTTGTAAGGTATATTGTTAGAAATATAACCTTTCAGGAATCACCAGTATAAACAAACATGTATAGTCATAGTAAATTCTCCTTAAAATCATGATTTAGTTCCAAGTCCTCATGTTTAAAGTTACTACTACCATCCATGTACTAGTATCCAAATGTAATAGCATTTTTTTTGGGAACCCGTACCACTTTATTTAAATTGTGATCCTAAAGGAACTTTACACCTTATCAGCTAGATTCAAAACCAATATTATACCAAAAGAATTTTATATACATTAACATATTCATAGCAAAGATATTTAGGGTCCAGATGTTAAGGCAAATCTCAGGAGAAAAGTGGGAAGAACAAAAAAGATTAGTAGTTATCCTCAAACTTGACAGCTTTTAGCTGTATGGTGGTCTTAGCAAGAAGAAACATAAATTTTAGATTTAGTCAGAGTTTTGTCAATTTGATCAAAGATAAAAATATCTTCAGCAAGGTCTCCAGAATTTCACAAAAAAAGGAGTTATAATCATAAACTATTTACTTTTTTCTAATTGAAGGTTATTTTTTCCTAATTCTCTTAACATACATCATGTATTTTTATCCAGTTAATTTGCCTTAAGGGCCTTAGGGCAAGATGGAATGGCCATATAACTCAAATGAAGAATGGTTTACAAAGGGTTATGTAGCAGGGTTGTAAAATTTCACGATTATTCTTTAAACTTTCTTAAAAAGTATTTCCTACCTGAGGTGCATTTGTAGCCACTAGAAATGCATTAGTCCTCCCTGGGTGATCATAATCATGCATGGCAGCTGCCACATACAAAGCCATCAATTCTAATGCTGGAATGTTTGAAGACAGGCAGCCATAACTCTCATCTGGGATAGAGCAGCTCTTCGAAGAAATATAAGCAATTTGCCCAGGAGTAAGTCTAACATCAGAATCTAAGGAACAATAAATAGCAAAATAAATAAGCATTAGCATATAACATCCTCATAGTTATGCTAAGAATGGAAATTCTTATAGATAATATAATTACTTATCATATTTGTTGACTTAAAATGAACTTCATGGGCTTAAAAGACTATACTACTTTCCAACAGATATGTGGAAGAACAGGATTGAGTACAATCATCAAGTTATGAACTACACAGACCATGATAGAACTTTCATACCAGCTTGATGCTCTCTTACTCAGGCTAATACTTTTTAAAACTTCTGATTTTCTAAATATTTGTTACATAAGGGCTAGATATAATGGTCAGGGAACAGGATCTTAGAGAAAGAAGAAATAATTGAGAATAAAATTTGATTTAAGAAAATCAGGATGAAGATTTAGGAATTTACTATATTACCAAACTAAGTTCCTCAGTATACATGCTTTTCAAATCTCATTCAGACATACTATACTTCATTTGCAACACCGACTACAATTCTTCTTCCCCTTCTTTTTCCTTGCAAGAGGTTGTTTATAATATAATGGAATGAAAACTACAGAAAACTGGAATATGTCTCAATCAACTCTTTTATCCTCTTCTGAGAGAAAATATATTCTCTATCTACACTGTGCTTTTGGTACTTAATACCTTATCATTTGCAATTTTTGCATTTTGTTGACTTTATCTAAATGGCCATACTATTATTTTTACTTATGGGATCATAAGAAATTACAAGAAGAAATTAGGAACTATTTAAAGTAGATAGCACCAAAACCAGTAGTAGATAAACCAAAAACATAAGAGATATAAAATTTCCTTAGTTGTGTTCATCAGTGGAACCTAGAAATCATGCCCTGACTTGTCAAAGTCCAAAATGATTTTTAAACCTAATTTATTACCCTCTGTCATCACAAAAAAATTTAACAGTGATTTTAATATACTGGAGGTGATTATAAAAATACTTCATTATTTTCAGGCTCTTTATATTTTGTATATAAATTAAGTGTTAGAATAATATACATAAAGATCTATTTTTAAAATAATTATAAAAATAAAAACAAAACAGTTAAATATATGGGTCAGGATATATGGAAGAAAACTTTTAATAAGAAGCCTTTAATTATTAATATCAGAGTCAATAATTAAACTTTTTCTTATGTTATATCCATTCTGGATTTCTCCTAGAATTATAAAAATATATTTTAAAAAATCAAAAATGAAAAAATATATCTTTTCAAATGCTTAGAAATAATTACTTAGAATTTACATATTAGGGCCTCAATACATTAGTGTGTATATATCTAAATCTCTATCTATCTATCTATCTATCTATCTATCTATCTGCTTAACAAAAAGTTAATAGCATAAAAAATAAAATAGATGGCAAGGTCAATTAAACATAGCTATTATGGATCATATTTCTTTACTTTCTTTCAGAAAATAGTGATTAGTTTGCTGACTAACTTAAAAGGAGGCCTCAGTAAAGTCATCCAAATTGGAAAGGATGTAAAATTTCTCTATTTTCAGGTATCATGATCTTGCACACAGAGGATCTCAAGATATCCAATGAAAACCTATTAGAAGTAAAAGTGAGCTCATTAAGATTATAAAGTACATGATCAATGTTATTATGTATGTAGTTTCTACATACTAACAACAAACAATGCAAAATCAACCCCCTCAATGGCATCTGCAATATCATCAAAGAGAATAAAATAGTCAGTGATATGGTTTGAATATGGAATGCCCCCTACAATTCACATGTGAAAGCTTAGTCCCGAGACAGTAGTGCTATCTTAAGGGGTTGCAGAAGTTTCTAATTTGGGAGACTGGGCTTAGCTAGAGGAAATATGTCACTGGGTATAGGTTTTGGGGGGATAGTTTGTCCCTGGTTGCTTTCTGTCTCTTTCTCTCTGCTTTTGGTTGTAACAATGCTAACTGCTCCCCTCCACTACATACTCCCACCACCAGGATATTCTGCCCAAGCATATAAAGTGAAACAACTATGGAATGAACGCACTAAAACCATGAGTCAAAATAAATAACTCATCCCCTTAAGTTGTTTATGTCAGGTGTTTGATCACAGAGATGCAAAAGCAACTAATATAGAAAACTGGTACCAGAAAAGTAGAGTTGTTGCTATGACTATCTGACGATCTGGTTTGTAAGCTACTGGAACTGATTTGTGGGAGGAATTTGGAAAAGTTTGTAGATGCAGTCTAGGGTGATTCTGATGGAGCTCAGAAGACCAGAATGCCAGCAAGAACACAAATAGTGAAGGCCAGGTTCAAGAGGTTTCAGTTAGAAAGAAGAATTCTATCAGAAATTAGACTGGAGGCATTCATGTATTCTGGCAAAAAAAAAAAAAAAAGGTCAACATTTTGTTTATGTCCTGAAATTTTGAGTGGGGCTAAATTTAAAGGTATGTACCAATATCTTAAGGAAATTCCAATGTAGCCCAGCATTTAGGCTGTGGCCTGGTTATTTTTAGCCAGGTTTACAGTAAGAATCAGGTGCAAAAACCAACAGGGAAAAATTGAAAAAATGAGCAGTTTGGTCAAAAAGGGCACACTGAAAGTTGTGGATAAGGAGGGAGGATCTGCTAAAGAAATTAGTGTCATTAAAAAGAAACCAAGCACCCTGCCCTGGGAAAATATGAAAGATGCCTTGAGGGCATCTCAGGAATTGAACAGACTCCAATTGTAAAACTGTAAATTTATTTGAAAGATTTTTCTCTTGAGAAGAGAGAACCCATGCTCTGGAACCAATCTGGGAAGTATTTTCCCAGGTTCAGTCACCCAGGCACCCAGCTGATGTGCAGCCATGGTCAATGGGGTCCCAGATACTGCTTGAGCTGGCAGCAGACCTTGGTATCATCAAATGATACTGGTTTTGCAAGCAAGCAGAATGCCTACTGAGATTTCAAAAGAAAGCCTGGATTACCAGGCAGTGTGTGGCAGGGTCAGGATCCTTACAAGCAATCCCTGAGAGAGCAACTTGTGAAGCTGTGAAGGTGGAGCCTAAGTTACAGTGGAGAGCCCAAGACACTGGAAATGTCAGGAACGTGGCATGTCTGCTAGGAAAGCCATGGTAAAAAGCAGAGCCAGCCCAGGTGAGAGGTCATGTGGGCCGTACTCAGAAAGGTCGTAGGCATGTGGTTACCCAAGCACATTGGATCTCACATCAACTGCATCATCACAGTATGCTTCAGATGCCAGACACAGAACTGTAGGATTTGGCATTTGCCCTTCTTGGTTTTGGGTCATATTTTAGCCCAATACTTTCATGTTATTCTCCAATTCCTCCTTTTGGGGACAGGAATGTTTACTCTGTGCCATTGTACCTTGGGTATATGCAGCTTGTTTTTTATTTTATAGGGACTCATGGCTAAGACATTACCTTTAGTCTCAGAAGTGACTTTGAAGTTGGACTTTTAAATAATGTTGGAACAGTTAAAACTGAGAACTCTTGGAGATGGACTAAATGCACTTTACATTACAGGATGGCCATGAGGTTTTTGGGGGTCAGGGGTGGAACACTGTGGTTTGAAAATTAAATATCCTCCACAGGCTCATATTTTGAACTCTTGGTTCCCAGCTAGTGGCACTATTTTTGGAGGTTGTGGAAAGTTTAAAAGGTAACTAGCTAGTTGGAGGAAGTAGGTCACTCAGGGCCATGACTTTGAAGGTTATACCAGATCTCCAGTCCCCTTTTTTATCTCTGATTCCTGTCTGTCATAAAATAAGCTGCTCCACCATGTCTTCCCCACCATGATAGACTAAACACTATGAAATTATGACCCAAAGTAATTTGTTGTTCTCTTAAGTTATTTCTGTCAGGTATTTGGTCACAGCCATGGAAAAGTAACTAATTCCTTTAGCAATAAGTTTAACAAAAGTAGAACAAAATTAATATTCCGAAAGTATAAAATACTTTTGAAAGAAATTAAAGACCTAAAGAAATGAAAACATATCCATGTTCATGGATCAGAAGAATTAATTTATAATCAGAATTCCAACTACCTTTCTATAGAAATTTATAACCTGAAATTGAAATTAATATGGAAATGCAAGAGGCCCAGAATAGCCAAAATGATGCTGAAAAGGAAGAACAAAGTTGGAGAATTCACATTTCACAATTTCTTTTTTTTTCTTTTATTATTCATATGTGCATACAAGGCTTGAGTCATTTCTCCCCCACACACTTCACAATTTCAAAGGTTATTACATAGTTCCAGTAATGAAGACAAGAAGGATAGGCATATAGATCAATGGAATGGAATTGACAGTCCAGAAAGAAACTTACACATTTATGGTTAATTGATTTTCAACTAGGGTACCAAGATCTTGTTGAGAGTCAACTGTGTCCCTTGAATGATGCTAGGCACTTCCTATCTCATTTAATGTTCTTAACATTGTATAAGGTAGAAACCATATTAACATTTAGGAGGCTACTATGCAGAACATATAAGTAACTTTGCAGCCAGCTGTAGTGGTTCATACCTGTAATCTCAGCTACTCAGGATACACAGGAAGGGCATGGTTCAAGAACTGCTTAGGCAAAAAAAATTATTGAGACATCATCCCAATCAACAAGCTGAGTGTGGTGGTATGTTCCTGTAATCCCAGCTATGTGGGAGGCATAGGTAGGCAAATCCATACTCCAAGGCTAGCCCTGGGGAAAAAATCCAAACTATCCAAAACTAACTAAAGCAAAAAAGGACTGTGGGTTAAGTGGTAGAGTTCCTGTCTAGCAACTGCAAATTCCTGAGTTCAAACCATAGTACCATCAAAAAATTCCCAAAGTATAAAGCACTCTTTTAAAAATGCTGTTGAGAGCTTGGGATGTAGCTCAAGGGTCGAGCACATGTCTACCATTGACAAGGCCCTGGGTTTAATCCCCAGCAGTACAAAATAAAAATTAAGCCAGGCATGGTGACATACACCTAAAATCCCACTGAGTCAGTAGGAAAACACAAGAGGATCACAAGTTTAAGGTCAGCCTGA